TTTTATCTAAGTCAACATCGAAAAAATCATTTAATCTAAAAATAAATGATTTTAATGCGCTACTTCATATGCAAGCTTTGTGCTTCTGATTGTGATGAGTAATGTGAAAACTTCTCGTTCTTTTTTTGTTCTTAATGTCTGGGAAGGTTCTTAAAATTTTGTATTCCTTTCTTTTTTCAAATTTTTATCGGATTTTTCAGGGGTGTCCACAACAGGGCTCATATTTTTTCTAAAAAAAATTGCCGGTTGTGGAAAGGGTCAATATTAATATTCGCATATTCCACCAATTTGAGTTATCTCAATCTTGGGTACGATTAAAGCTCTCTTTCATCACCAAAGTTGGATAAGTGTGAACTGTGAAACGCCCTTCGAAGGGCTTCTATTTTTCACATAACTTAAGTATCTTATATCTGGTTGCACTTTGTTGCTTTAAAATTCAAATTTGATATTATTTTAGCGTTATTTTGTCCCGAATATTTACTTTAAAAACTCAGGAAAAGTCGAAAAAAATTTCTTGGCATGGTTTTAGATAGACGCATTAATTAGGCATAAGGTATCGTTTGTAAGAAACGATGGATAAATGGCCAAGTTGCAGCCATTTGACCAAAACGACTCAAAACTCATTTTACCTGAAAAAATACCGTCCGGTACGTTGCTGGTCCAACTGCCAAAATGGGAATGCAGGAAACAAAAAGGACCTGTAATTTTGGTTTTACCGAGTCCTAGGTATGGATATATCTCGGATATATACAGGGGTGCCACAGAAACCACTAGTGAAATGGGAAACCGCGCAGAGGATTTCCGCTTCAAACTTTCCGCCGTGCCACAGAATTCCGTGCGATTTCATTTTTCTTAGCATGGTCACAAACCAAATTCGAACTAAGGCTAGGGTTGCAGTTTTATTGATTTTATCATACCAAAAAAATTGTTTTTTTAATGTTTTTCTTTTATGATATAAAATAATTGATTTTTTAAAGCTGTACTTTTATAATTTCAAAGCAAGAAAAATATCCCATATCGTGCGAGTCAAACAATACAATGTACTCGGCAACTCTAGCAGTTGTCTGGCATCTCTCCATCCATGGCAGCAATCAGCTGTTAAAAAAAACACTCATCTGAATTTTACGGTAAACTTAATTAAAATGCTTTTACCGAGACTGTTGGCCATCGAAGAACTACGGAGGCAACATATTAGAATACAAACCTTGCAGCGCAGGCTTCTCAGATGCGCATCGGACTCGTTTTCACGTTCAGGCGATACGTATGTGGTTTTTGTGATTGACTTCTCAAACTTCTAAAAATGTTTTCACAATTTGCAAAAAAAGTATGCCCACGTTTGACGTAAAGGAAGTTTTACTACAATGAGGTATTTTTTGTAATGCTTAATTAAAGAAAATCAGAATGCTTTCAATATAATTAATATTAAATATATTGCTCCGAATTCGACTTTAAAAAGGTGGCATTACTATTTTAACTTCGAAAGTCCGAATCGCCATAAGTGGCCACCTCGGTCTACAGCGGATTGAGATTTAATAAATTGTGAGCGATTTTGACTCCGCTGAAATATCGGTGTGTGGCACGGCGGAATAGAATTGAGGTGATTTTCCAGCGGTTCATATCCATTTGGGTTGTAAATAGTTACTTTTACTCCAATGCTGTGGAGAAAACCAGAGATTCAGGCTCCGATTCCAGTTATTTTGAATAAACAAAAGAAACATTCATCTTTTGTTCATTCAAAATAACTGGAATCGGGAGATCCATGAAATGAGGTTACCCGAAACAATTTGGTTAAGGCGTTACGCTTCCTGCTCCTCCCTTAGAGGAAATACCGCCACTAAAACGCAAAAAATAGAAGATGTCGTCTTCGTCACATGGAACAACGGATTCATGTAATGACCAATCAGGAGAATATAAATTGAAAGATTTGGTGAGGATCCTGGATCTTCCTAAAAGTAGAGCTGAGATTCTTGGATCTTTTTTAAAGGATGCCCTTTTATTGAAGGAAGATGTCAAAATAACTAATTTCCGGACGCGTCATTTGGTTCACGCACAATTTTATATGACAAAGGATGACATGTGCGTTTGCCACGACATTTTCGGAGCTTCAAGCAACTGGGTGAAGCTTACGACCCAAAAGATTGGAGGTTATTTGTTAACAGCAGTAAAGAAAGTTTAAAGGCTGTCTTGCTACATAATGGAAACCAAAAGCCGTCTATTCCCATCGCCCATGCTGTTAATATGAAGGAAACATATCAAACAATGGCAAACTTTTTTGAAAATATAAAATACTAGCAGACCCGCGCGCTTCCCTGCTTACTAAATGCATTTAATGTTTAGAAATTCATCGAAATTAAACAATGATAACACTAGGCAACACGACAATTAGGCTGTGCCCCAAAATGACTTTTTCTTATAGGTTTCGGGGTTTACAAATTTTTAACGAATTATGGTTTTTTTTAATAGTTTAGTTTTTTTTAAAAGAATTTTTTAAAATCTGTTTTTTTTTAATGTTTTTTTTCAGAGGTAGTTCTTTTATTTTTCACAAAACTTAAGTATCTTATATCTGGTTGCATAGAACTTTGCAGTTCTGAAAAGCTGGCAAATGCAACTATAAATCAGATCCAGTCACTTTGTATCTGCAGCTTAACGCCTGGAAGATATTAAGCTTTCAAATTCAAATTTCATCATTTTTTGCGGTATTTAATCTAATATTAAAAATGCAAAAAATTATGAAATTTGAATGAAAAATTTTCATACAAAAATGTATAAGGCAAAATCTATCACAATGTTCTGTTCTACAGAATGACACAAAATGAAATGAAATAAGCGATCAAACACAAATATTTATACCAAATTTGAGATTTGGGAAAGAAATACCACATACTCCGGCTATCATTAACAAAAAACCGCATTCAATTTGGTGCACGCGTTGCGGAGAAATTAAATGAAATAGGCGTTCAAACACACACTTTTGGACCAAAATTAAGATATTTTTCAATAATTTTTCATTTATGAGGAACCTATTTATAGAAAAGTACAAATTTGTTTTTGCAAACCATGCCACATTCTCTGGCTGTTATTTAAAAAAAAAAACAGCGTGCACGCGTTGCGGAGATAGCCGCTTACACACAGATTTTTTTCTACAAACTTATAGTATAGATAAAGAACACAAGTGGAAGGTCGCGTGTGACTTGAAAGGCGTAGCCATATTAACGGGATTGCAAGGTGGTTGCACAAAATACTGCTGCTTCCTGTGCCTATGGGATAGAAGAGCTAGAACTGAGCATTACTCAAGAAAACTTTGGCCAAAACGGGAGGAAAATACATTGGAAAATTACAACATACAAAATGCAGCTCTCGTGAAGTTTGAAGGCGTTATTTTACCACCATTACACATTAAGCTGGGACTAATGAAAAATGTTGTTAAAGCACTGGATAAGGAAGTCGAATCAATGCGTTACCTAAAAGCTGTTTTTCCACGTCTGTCGATGGCAAAAGTTAAAGAAGGCGTATTTGAGGGCCCCCAGATTAAAATATGATGGATTTAAAAATATTTTATCTACGAATGAAAAAGCAGCAGAGTCGTTTAGGTCAAACGGCTACAACTTGGCCGTTTATCCATAGATTCTGACAAACAATACCTTAAACGACGCCTTATTAATGCGTCTATCTAAAACCAAAAATGAATGCCAAGAAATATTTTTGTCGACTTTTCCTGAGTTTTTAAAGTCAAAATTTGAATTAGAAAGCTTTGTATCATCCAGACGTTAAAATGCAGCTACAAAGTGTCTGTGTCGGGTTTGTAGCTGAATTTGTCAACTGTCAATGTTCTATGCAACCAGATATAAGATACTTAAGTTATGTGAAAAATAAAAGCACTACCCCCGAAAAAGACATGAAAAAATAATAAATTTTAAAAAATTCTTAAAAAAAACCTAGACCATAAAAAAACCATAATTCTTAAAAAAAAAGTTTAAATCCCGAAATCCATCAGAAAAAGTAATTTTAGGCCCCAGCGGAAATGTCATGTCGACTAGTGTAATAGCCACTAAAAAAGCATATAATTACATTTTTCATATTTAACGGCATTTTTGCTGGCTCCTTTGGATTTAATAATTTTTGTTTACATTTATCATTGTTTTAATCCGTTATTGAGGTAAAAATACGTCTTCAGCTTGTTAAATATCAAGCTTGAATCAATGCAATCATTTTTATTGTTATCAATCCAAATATTGAATAGAGTTTCATTAAAAAAGTTAAAATTACGGTCGCAAATAATTATTATAATTTAATGGACATTAGTAAATATAAACTTTCTTCTTTAATTTGGCATAGTTAGATTTTGATTCTAGTTGTCTCGGGATTAGTTGTTAGCCACAAAAGGCAAGTTGGTTAAGTTTTGTGTAATTTTTGAAGGCCCAAATAAATACGCACAAAAACAAACTAGCACATATGAACAAAAGCTTTTTTTATATTATTATTCTACATACCCCGGCCTTTCTGTTCCATATTTTACAATCATCTTTTTCTCAAAATTTACAAAACTTACAAGCTCACAAACTCAAGAAAAAGATTTCCGCTTTTCGTACACCAACTCTTAATTAATCGAACATCTCACTTTGATGGGCTGCAAAAATTTCAGTGCAGCATTAAAATAAAAAATATGCTTGCATTTTTTTTAGCCAAGGTATGTTCTATGAAAATTAGATAAAATAAGATTTTGTTTCTGTGAAGTTTTCGAATTTATGCCAAAATATCGGCTGTCTAGTCCAATGTGCATTGTGTTGAGGCTATAAGCTCGGAACAAAGGATATAGAGCACTGGGTAATAGTAAACCAAAAATGGCAAGGGAAAAGAACAAAGGCAAAGGAAGAGGCCAATAAAGACAAAGCTGAAGCCGAAGGGTTTCGGGTGTTAAAGGATAATTTTATTGCCATGTCCATTAGGCTATTGTGTGGCTAGATAAGGGGGAATTATGGGACACTTACAGAAACACTCACCCGATATTGTGTGGTCGGAGAGTCGTGAGGGTGGCGTGTGTGCCGGAGTGTGGTGGTGCGATGATGAATCCATTCCAGGTGTGGGTAGGCCTGAGTACAGGGCACTGAAGTCCTCTGGCGTACTGCTACATTTCCGTTGGTGGTTTAGCGACGTGGACGATTTGTCTAGTGTGGTGATGGGAGATCGCGCGTCCTGTACGGACGTAGCGAGGCTGAGCAGGCGATTTTCGTGAGAGCCGCCGATACCCATCAGCCGCTGGTCCTGGAACGACATGAATTTGGAATCCTGGACGCCTCCATGCTGCATACTGGCATGATCCTCGAGCAACCCCTGCTGCAGGCCCAATAACCCGCCTACCAGATTGGGGCGAAGCTCATCCATGCTCAGTTTTCCTGCCTGCCCTCCCGAAGAAAAGTTCAGTTGCCGGCTGAAGATCGCCGGGAAAATGTTAAACTGCTGCGAGTCAGCGCTGGACTGCGGACTGAGACCAAGGCTGTGGGGCGCCACTTGTGGTATCGAGGCGACTGCTGCTGCGGCCGCTGCGACTGCTGACACGACGCCTGATCCTGATCCCGTTCCAGATGAGCTCGGTCCGTTGCCGATCAACAGAGTCGGGGCAACGGAAACTCCGCTGCTGTTGATCAGCTGTTGTTGACTATGCTGCTGCTGATGCTGCAGCAGAGGAGCTGCGGCTCCCACTCCGGTCGGCAACTGTTGCGACTGTTGTTGCTGGGGCACGGAAACGGATACCGATGGCAACAGACCGTGATGAGCGTGTGTGATCGCTAGGGATTGTCCGTGAGTGTGGGAGTGACTGTTATGGACGTGCGGGTTGTGGTTGTGGGTAAGCGACAGGGCCGAGCTGTTACTACTTCCGTTGCTTGTGCTGTTGCCGCTGCTGATTACTGATTGCTGATGTTGGGTGGCTGAGTTGGTATTGCCGCCGACGACGACTCCTCCAGCAGCGCCACCACTACCACCACCGGAACCAGGGCCGCCGGCACAACTTTGATGTTTGAAATCCAACTTGTGGCCGGCGTAAAACCGCTGCGTATCGATATACGTTTTGAAAAAGTCAATTGAATAATCCAACTGAAAGCTGTCACGCGGCGAACGCGGTTTCGTGGCGTAAAAAAAAATGAGCGCGGAGAGGAGTCGAGAGTGAGTCTGTAGATCGCACTGAAGCTGACTACTGCTTCGGAATTACGTTTCGTTCGTTACCTTATCAAAATGTTTTCCGTTTCAAATTGTTGCTAGTCTCGATTTTTTTTTCGTCTTTCGAACTATTGCACTTCCAATCTAATTCCACTAAAGTCAACACTTATTTTGTTGTTGCTTTTTTTGTTACAGTGGGAGAACTTGAAAAAACTATACGACACATAAAAAAAAGGATAAGCGCTGTAAAAGTTTTCCTTCTGTTGGTCGCCAGTGATAATTATTTGTAGTTTTCTTTTGCTAAATGTGCGCACGTGTACCGTAATGCTTGTACCGTAATGCTTGTACCGTGTAAGTGGATCGTGGACTGAATGCTGTCTACCGTTTTGCCGAGAGTGGCTCCAACTCCACCGTGTAAACTTGGTTTGGCACACGAACAAAACGAAGAATTTAAAAGCGAAAACAAAGAGGTTGAGAGAAAATATTTTCAAATGCGGCTCAACGTGTGCTTGTGTTTGACTGTTAGTGTTTAATAAAGTCGACTCGTCTCGCCCATCCTTTCCACACTTTTCCCTAACAGAGCAGTGAATCGTGTGCCCTGGCGCTGTTGTTATTGATGTTCCTCGCTGGTGCTTTCGTTGCTCTTGTTGTTGCTGATGGCTTAGGCACGGCGGTACGTATTCGCGGCCGATCAAACTTAAAATGATATACAATTTCAAGCAACATACAAAATTATAACGAAATTAAGGATCATGTGCTCGGCAACGGCGGCGCCGACGCTGGCGTTGCTGTCGCTTACTCTGTCCCTGGGACTGCGCGCTGATTCTACTGCTGTCTGCTTGTACGATACCGAATTTCTGGTGGTTGCTGTCACTGTGGGGGGGCGATTGCGGGCTACGCGCGAACGATTGGTGGTTAGCCCTCTCTCCGACTGTGAGTATGCATGTGTCTGTGTAGTCGAGACCACGAATCGTTAGTCGTACTAATAATTTTTGAAAAATGAAACTTGTGTTGGTGGAGTGTCTTTTTGGGAGTGTTAGTGCGTGTTTTTGTGTGTGTGTGTGTTGGGCGGCAAAGGAACACGTCGTATGAATGCGATAGCAGCACATGCTGCTGCCTTGAAAGTGAAATATATTGCCTGCCCACTTGCACGGCGCTGTCACTTGCTGTCTCGCTTTAACTTGTTTGATTAATTTTGTTAGTTGTTGCCAATGCTGTCGCCATTGCTGCCTTTGTCGATGAAGTATCGTAGCCCTTCGTATGTTTTGCGACAGAGACTCGACACTAATACAAATATACATATGTATCTATGTATATATGTATGTATGCAGGTATGTATGTACGTGCAAAACATCTGTGTATTCTCGTGAGCACATGCATATTAATGTTCACAGTTACGAAGTCAGAAATGTATAGCCGTATGCATGGTGTACTTTTCTTGATCTAATAGGGCTTGTTACGTTGCAACCAGTCCCAGCGATGCTTCTCGCGAAAAATGAACCAACACTTATTACAATACACGAAACTTATTTTTTGAAAGCTCCAAATATGGCTGATGACACACTTAAAAGTGCAGCCCGAGCAGAGCACTCGTGTACAGTGAAAGTGGCACGCCTTCCTAGCTGGCATTCAATAAGTACCCACTACCTCAATCAGTGTGCCCACGCTGTGGTGCTTAAAAGCTCCCTTCGGCAAGTTATCAAGAGAAGAGCTTGGGAAATCATTTCTTGTGCATTACATCCAGTTGCAGTTGCTCCAACTGTCGCAAATATTTCTACTCCAATTTGACGACCAGAGTAGCTGCAGGTTGATATCGCAATGCATGCTCCAAATGAGTGAGGCTGCAATTGATGCTGGCTGTAAAAGAGAGCAAGGGAGTGCTTGGCATAGAAAGAGACAAAAGTAAAGCGCAACCAAAAAAACCAGTGAGAAGGAACGATACTGCGTTGGCTGTGACATTTGGCAGAGCAGAACGAACGCTGTTGTCCCTATGTTTGTCTCGCTCAAGCGCATGCTCGCTTAGGGCGAATGGTGCTGCACCAATCGGTGAGCATCAAAGTTGTTGTTTTTGTTTCTGCTGCTGCTGCGCAATGAATTAGTGTTCGTTAAATGTGGCGCCGACAGTGGTAGCAGGGTCGGTACTGAGAACAAGAACAAGAACACTGAGAACAACAACAACAACAATGCGCTGTTGCCCATTTTCTTTGCCATTTTCTTTTGGCATACTTGCAGCTGCGCACCTCAGTCCTTTTATCCATCTGTCTCTTTAAATCTTAAAACAATACATTCGACTGAGCGCCTGAAAATGGTAGACTACTGCTCCATTTTCATAGAACCAGCGCCGTCGCTTATGGCATGAAATCATCTAGCTTCTCATCGGCGTCGCCAATACCGTCAACCTTTTCAGAGTGGGCGCGTCTGGCCCAGGTACCGACCCTGGCCCTGGCCTGTAGGGTTAAGTTAGTTTTGCTTTGAAGCGGTCTGCGATGGGCTAATCATCGTATCTGTTTGTCGTTGTCATAATAAATGTATGTATGTACATGTACACACATATACATACATACATACATAGCTCAGTTCAGCCTCCCACCTCTCATTACTTTCAGCATGGCTCGAAATGATTACAGCGTTTCCTCAAACACAATATAGCCAGAGAGAAAAAAGTTGAAGTCATCGTGGAAAAAAACACACACACACACATATAAGCGTCGGGAAGTCTTTAGTCTAATTTAAAGGAGCGAACTGTAAAAGAAACATTTATACGCAGAGGAACAGCCACGGTCAAAACAATAGAATAGACAATTTTGTATTGGTAGCACATACATACATACATACATGTACATACTTACATACATATGGGCAGTTCCTATCTGGCGTTACGTTACATTCGTACGACAAAATGTTGGAAAAAATAGTCAAAAAGCTGAAATTTGGAAAAAAGATTATCCTCGTTGAATATAATTTGGTTAAACCTATATTCACCAGAAAAGTGGAAATAATCGAGCGTACGGCTTAAAAGATATAAGCCAAAGTATAACCTAAAAGTGCGTTACATAAAACAGAAGTGGTTTTCGAGGTTGGGGTACAAAATGGCAAAACTCTGCGAATTGGATAGGGCTATTTGTATAACATTTTTTGTGGTAATAAATGAAGTTGAGAGTTAATTTTCAAACTTATTAAATGTAAAAAACTCTTTTTACGAACGTTACTGGCGTGACGTTACCAAATTACGCGATTATAAAAGCCTAAAAATATATGTCAATAAAGTAAATTAGTTGCCTTTCAATAAATTTAGAAAAAAATATCCGTAAAAAATTATATGGAAATCGGTTTTTATTGACTTTTTATGATTTTTGGCCTGGTGGACCTTTTGGCGGAACTGCCCATATTTTTGAAGAAACAGGGCACCGGAAACCAATCTGTTTTATTGGGAATTTATCTAATCTACACATCAACACCGTTTTAACTGTTTTATTCATTAAAACATTATAGGTTTTTTTTGTTTTTGTCATGTTCATATGTACATACATATGTATGTACACACATTCATACATATAAATTAATTGTAGCAGGAATACAAAATTATTACTATTAATTTTGAGTAGAGCCAGAATCGCGAAATGTTATGTTGCATCCGAACGCAAAATTTAACGATAATTTTTTCAAAAACGCATGAAACTGTGTCCTTTTAATATTTATTGAATCTTTTTGAATCAGTTAGATTTTTTGTTAAAATACATTTTTCTGTACGCGTTGGACTGTTACGTTACACAATTTTGGAAGTATGTAGGTTTTCAAGTTGCGCAACACTTTCGAAAAAGTCTGCTCTTCTGGTTGACTATTTTTAACGAGTATCTAGTACAGCGATGCCCAGGCCCATTGCCCTCCGAGCCCTTTTGTTTTTGTAATTGCACATGCCCAACACATGCAAACATCTTTGTGTGTATGCGATCCGTCCAGCAAAAACCGGTTTTGTCTCTTCTCTGATTGGTGTTACCCGACTTTTGTTATGATTTTGTTGTTGTCTTTTCTTCGAGATTGCACTGTTCCCTTATTCGTATTTTTGTTTTTGTTTAAGAGTATTGGTGAGTGATCTGCAGTAGGCTGACTTTGGGCATCGCTGATCTAGTACATCATTTTTATACCCGTACTCAAAAAAGAGTTAAGGGGTATATTAGATTTGTGGTAAAAGTGGATGTGTGTAACGCAGAGAAGGAAACGTTTCCGACCCCATAAAGTATATATTATCTTGATCAGCATGTCACCATGTCTGTCTGTCCGTCCGTCCGTCTTGTTGAGCGCCTGGATCTCAGAGATTATAAGAGTTAGGGTAACCAAATTTAGTTCCCAGACTCATGTGATATCACACTGCTACAAGTCTATTTCAAAATTTCGCCTCGCCCCTTTCCACCCCCACAAAGGACGAAAATCTGTGGCAGGCACAATTTTAAAGATACGATAAAACTAAAAACGCAATATCGTAGAGAATGACCATATCTACCAGACTGCCGAATCTGAATCAGATCGGATCATAATTATAGCCAAAATGAAGAAATTAACTTTCAGTTGCTTCCCCTCCCCCTCCCGCCAACGACAACGCAACTCATTTTCCTTCTCGCTCGCACACTCTGCCGCGTTCAGTTCGCGAACAACCCCTAGCGGAGGAGATGTAGAATATGAATGGTACATCTATAATCTACATGTTAGATGTAAAATATACATTGCAGATGTAGATAACAGATGTAGCAAAAAATGTAAAGTGTAAAATTTTTTCTTTTAATTTTAAAATTCTAAAAAATCATAAGCTCAAAAATGTATATACTGACTGAGTACGGGTATAAGTAGAGTCGCGTCTCCAGAAGCGACTCACACGTTCCTTCTCGTTAGCTATGTGATGGAAGTATTGAAGTAAATTTCATTTATGCCAAAAAGAAATTTTTTCCTTTTTTGACAAGCAAAATGTCCGGACTGTTACGTTACATGTGCAGCCTTTGCTTATTAAAATTCATGAAAAATAATTTCTAAAGTGAAAAACAATTCAAATTATA